ACTAGTCTATCCTAGAATAAAACCCATTTTTCGGACATATGGGACAGCGAGATACTTTGGTCGACAAACTTCAAGCAACAAAATGAGCAATATTTTCTATTAACCGTGAAAAAGATACTTCCTAAAGATTTCACCATTATATACTAAACGCTCTTAAAATAGAGCTGCAAAATTTGTTTGAGGAAATTCTTAATTGCTAAGTTTATCAGTCTCATGACTGATTCCCTACCATCCCTATTTTCTGATATAATCTCTAAGTGTTGATATAGTGCTAAGTTAACCAGTAATGCTTCCTGTTCTATCACGTAAAAAGCTCATAAGAATTACTTATTAAAAACGTTAAATATCCTAAGGTCTGCTTTAGTTGATCAAAAAATAAATCGTGATATTTTATGCATCACGCAACCCATATTAATCATAATTATCTTAGAGAGTATCTCCTCTGTGAATTTTGGGCAGCAAGAATTATGCAGAGAAGATTTTGAAATTGTATAATAATTTTACTTACAGTTCAATAGAGGAAACTATAAATGAGACTGAATTACAGATTGTTCCCCCAATTGATAGTCATCTATAGCTCCCAAATAGAATAGGCATTGTAATAGCATAACAAGGAAGCGTAGACAAAGCGAACAAATATTGTAAGAGGCATAAGAAGCAACATTTGTGGTTGTAGATAGTGCAGTTTAAGTAGAAAAAATGATGCTAGCTTCTACTGATTTCGATAAGTATGGAATTCTAACAAGGGCCGCAGTCGAGACTAAAATGTGGTCTCCGTTAGTGCTTAGGAAGTGGAGACTTAAAGAAGGTGAAAATGAACTCACATCTTCAAAGCGAGAAATGTGGTTTGCCTAAAGTTCGTAAGGGTCCCACTTAGAAGCACTGTAAATAATAAGGGTTGAGTGATGCATAAAATATCATGATTTACAAATGGCCAACCAAGGCAAATATCAGGATTTCGGCAGTTTTAAATAAAGAATTCTCATTGCTTTACAAAGTTAGTAGATATGGAATAAATAAAGAAGGAAGATTTGTTTGTAAGTTCTGATGTAGTATTAATATACCTTATAATAATTATTATTATTTATTAGTAATAATAATAATAATAATGATAATATTTTTGAATTATCACTAGACCAATACCCACAGATTACATGAGATGAGACTCAAAATTGTTTAAACGCAAAACCCATGGAATAAGACAAACAAAGAGTTAATAATGATATTGACGAACTTAGTAATGAATAGTACATATTTTATAATTAACCCCGTGGGTTGACCTCGTTTTTGCAACTCAGTCTTGTTGTCAGGGGGACTTAGCAGAACGCACCTAGTCCGAAGTCGTCTGCTATAGTAGCTGTCATAATTCCCATCATCAGACAGTGACCTTGGTAAATTCTCAGACGTTTTGCCGGCATCGTAGCCGGCATCATCAGTAAGTGTTGCCATTCTCCGCACTAAGCTGAAAATTCGTCAAAGAAACATACAAAAGCGACCATACAAAAGCCCACACCATCTTGGCCTTCATACCTTCTATAAGTAATTCTTACTCAACTTTCTACCACCATTCCTCACTTTCAACGAAAGCTCAGCCCGTCTTCGCCCGAAATGTTGAAAGACATATCATGCACTGCAGCAACCTGAACATCATATCAATGCCAAATGGATGCAGTACAAAGCGAATCAGCCGATGTCTTCTGGTGAGATTCACTTACGAATCTCTTTATCATGTACTTTCATAAGAAATGAAAGTCTTCATAACAATCTTAGCGAACAACTAAAGAGCTTGCCTAAGGCTCCGGCAGATTCAAGAAGCACATTTAGTTCTGAAGCTCCTAGTAAGACATAATGACGACTATATAAGATGTATTAAACAGATTTCGTTTAAGGGGATGACGGACTAGTGGTTGAATTTCCTCACAATGATATGAATAGAGCTGATGTTTGCATTAAATTTTACGTAGCTTTCCTTTCTCATAAGATGTTATCATCCCACCTGGAGTAAAATGTCGTTTCGGCCTCGCCTATGTCTTATCAACATCCCAGTGGTAATCGAACCATGACAATACAACGTGTATTCTCGATACGCTAATCACCACGCTGTATTGCCATGAGTGCCCTCGGGTCACAAGGTGGATGTTAACTTCAAGGAAGGCCAGGCATCTTTCCATATCACATTCTTTGGTGGGATTGTCAATGAAGCAAAATTATATTTGCTATGAAAATCGGCTACATTATTTATTTTTTGTTCAAGCCTCATATAACTGATTTACTGGTAGTCTCGAAACTCTATTTATGAACGAAAAATATGTAGTGTAGTCGATTGTCATAGCAAATATAACTTTGCTTTATTGACAATCCCACCAAAGAATGTGATACAGGAAAATGATTAGCCTCCTTGAAGTTCACACCTGCCTTGTGACCCATTGGCACTCGTGGCAATGTGGCTGAGTGGTTAACGTGCCAAACTCACATGCTGCACTTTGACAGTTTGATTCCCATTGGGGGTCTTGATAAGAACTAGGCGAGGTCGAAACTGCAGTGCACTCCAGCTGGGACTATAACAACTTTTGAGAGAAAAAGGCAATGTAAAATTAAACGCAAACATCAGCTCTACTCATATCATAATGGGGAAATTGAGCTACTATTCCTTTATCACCTTAAAATAACTAGGGCGAATACACCTCATATAACTGATACATTGGTCGTCTCAAAACCCTACTTATGACGACTGCTTTGCCATCTCACAGAATGACAAGAGTGTGGAAGATTCCCTTATGCTAATGAGCCAATTAGATAGGGCGATTGCATTCAAAATGAAGTTATAAAAGGATAGTAAGCTACCCTTTTAGATGCCCTGATTAATACAGAAAGTGAAGACATTTGATTGAGCTGTGCATATAAAATGCATAAATGCCTGTTTTATTCTTAATTTCTTATCTAATCGTACTTATGACATGAAAGTAGTTTTATGACTTCTATGACAATAAAAGATCGCGTTTAAAAGATGTAAATCAGCAAGATCAAGAGTTAGAAAAGCCAGTAAAAATCTTAGTTCGGAACATTTATCCATCAAGAGTAATTATCAATAATTTCACCATATTAAGAAATATTATAGAAGAAAATTATTTTGGACAAAATAGGGATTTGAATAACTCCAGACTGCTGGTGTTGCCGTCTTGCCAGCTTTCGAAAAAGATAGGCGAATTACTGAAGAAATGGAAGGTTGGGATAATGTATAAAAGACTGGCACCTTCCTCGGTCATATCTTTTTTAAAGAATATTTATACCCACTTTGTAGATCAGGTTCGTATAAAATTTAGTGCTCATACAGTAGTGTAAATGTGGGGGAGATTTTTCGATCCATACGATCCATACCTGCAAGGATTTATGGCTTCATAAATCGGAAGAGCTTGAATATACGATCCCTACAAGACACCGAATAAAGTGGTCTACATCACCGTCATACAGGATATTGAGACTCGATGGCTAAGCGGAAGATTAGGGAGCCCATTAAAAGTTTAAAAAAAACATCCTAAATAGAAGGAACGAGTATAGGAAAGTAAGAAAAAACTATCTTTGGCTATTGGATAGATTTATGAAAATATGTTTAGGCTGGATGCCTGTTTGGTCCATAAAATGATCAGCTGACTCATGAGTAGTGTATACGCACCACGTGCATCAACATTGCAAAATCATATTCTAGTTTATTTACGTAAGGAAACAGTCGCGATTACATCTGCTCACTTTTTATACATCAATTTCATTCGTCTACATGCATGCAGAGTAGACAGTAAATAGCTAACCAAACCATGGGATGCCTCATTAAGTGAATTATAAACAAATAATTTTTGTGTTCTAACAATTTTCGTCACGTGACGAATGAAAGCACAGCTCGAATTCATCTGAGTAATAGGGCTATGGATCTTTCTCGCGGAATCCAGTACTTACAAGTTTAAGGCAATCTTTCGCTGTCCGGTAATGCCAATTAATAAATCCCTTCCACCAAACGTTTTAGAGGAAATAAAAGGTACCCCAATATCATGTTATAGCCTAATTGCTAAGGTCTAATGATAGGCCTCCTAAGCTTGGTAGTTACCAATATAGGAAAACGTTTTCTTTTTATTTACACTGCAGTAGAGGTGAGTGTAATTAGGGTAAGAAGATAATCAAATTTGGCTTCCATGCCTCAAGATTGAAATAAAAATTTATTTGAAAGAGTGTGTATTGACTAGACTTTCGCTCAGCATACTCAACGTTTAGCTCATAAAGAAAAGTGCTGGAAATTTTTTCCCGATGGACCTGCGTAGCAGACTGTAAATCCAATTATCTGAGATAGTTACCGTGTGCCTCTTCAGAACCTTCACATAATGGCAGCAACTAGAAGATATAAAAATGAGTTTCCTGCATTCCTTCAAAGTTTAAGATTCCCAAGTGATCCTACGTGCCCTTTCACCATTCTTAATAAACTTGTCAATGTGGAGAAGCATAAGTAAGTGGTTTATTTTCAGACCTACTCTGCAACCTTTGAGCTCGCCTCCTTGAAAATGGCAGTTCTCGAAGTTTGCAGCATACGTCCTGGCCGCCCTGGTTGGCAGGAACCGGTTGCTGGCCATTTCAGTTGCACGTGGTCCGGTAGGCTGATGCTGAGTCGAGTTTTGATGCGGTTGATATTGGCGCAGAAGCTGACGAGCATGCAGCGGTACTGAATAATCGGTCTTAAGTGAAGTGATCAAACGAGACCAAGCTATACTGGCGCCGCCGTAGCCAATGCTGGCATTTGGACTAAAACCGAAAATATTTGTGCCTTCAGATAGTCCGGCCTGGCGAAGGATGGAAGTGGCGCCAAAAAGAGAGCCCGATGCAATATGACCACATGCAGGTAGATGCGTTTTGCCTAACAAGTGAACTGCCGATTGGTATTGTTGATTTAGCTGGTGACCACAATCCCAGAGTTTTACGAGACCATCTCCACTGCTACACGAAGCCAGCAGTCTGCCAGATGGATGGACTGCCAAGCTAAGGAGGAGAAGCAAGGCAAGAGCAATGCATAGGTGAGGATCTAAGTTGGTTCAGTAGACGCTTTACAAGACGAAGAATAGTTAGAACGAGTAGCTTTAAAATTATTCTAAAATAGAGGCGAAACAAGAAAGATTGATTTGAAAAGTTATTGTTCATTCGATTGCATTTAATAGCTCTTACCGAGGCCTTAATCAATTAATTTATTGTTATGGTATTTAATGGCCTAAAGCTGTCGTATACAGTGGTGTATAGATTGATTATAGTTTTTGAAATTGCTATGCAGAACACAAGGACAAAGCTCAGAATCGACACTAGTAAGTAAATATAGTAACGATATGAAGGGCTTGCATCCAGAATTATACAGGAATACATTTATGTAGAGTAGCTGTGTTATAAAAAGCACAGGAGAGTTCAAAGGTGGAAGGGCCTATTCTTGACCGATAATATACATTGATATACTTTATCATTTTTATTATTAATTATGAATGGAAAGAAAGAAAAATAGGGAGATTTAGAAATAAAGGCAGATTAAAAAGCACAAAGGTATAGATAGATTTTTTTAAATGCAGAAAAATAAATAAATAGATACATACAAAGATAGTGGCATTAGAATAAAAGGTATACATAAAATTCAATGTACCGCTCAGATGCCCTGTAAAAAGTCGGAATTGCTTCACAGGGAGATAATATGGCTGTCAATGTTAAAAGATTAATAAAACCTATTAAACGAAGAGACAGGTGACAAACAAATACAGAAAAGAAACAAATAAATAGGTGGATGGATGAGCGAAGATAGGGGATTTTCGGGAGAGAAGAAATGCACTAGTTACCTTAGCATGCCAGGCTTGTGTTCATGTAGGTGAACAACCAACTGCCCTTTGGGACAGTATGCTGTTTCTTGTGCCCAGCCAAGGCCGGCTACCATTGGTACCGTGGATGAGAGATTCGAGGGGTCTCCAAGCTGTCCAGGTAGTTCAGCGTCCTGCGTCCCCTGAGGGCACGTGGCCCTAGTCACTGCAGCAACGGTAGTTGCTACAGCAACGGCGGTGGCACCGGCAGCAGGGAGGACAGTTAAAAGGGCGGTATCAGGGGTTAGATCAGATGGTAGAGCTACAGTGGCCTGCCGATTTGACAAAGAAATGGGAGCTACCGAGAGGGGCTTTGTTGACAAATTAGTAAGCGCAGCCAAAAGGCAGGCTCCAGCCGGCTGAGTTGGTCCATTGATTTCCTCTCCGCCCATATCAGGATCGGAATTATTCATAAAGTCCATGTAAGGACCATTATTTAGCGAAATAGAGCAAATGGCGAGTTGAAGACCTCCGCCCTTAAGGAGAAGGTTTGATGCAAGAGAAGAAAGTGTTAAAGCTGAAGGTGTCTTTTCATGCTGGAGCCTTAATTCTGATATGTTCTCGGTTGGTTTGCGAGTTGTCGCTCCTTGCTTAGGACTGTTAAAGCCTATGGAACAAGTCATTCCATCACCAGTGGCTGAGATGTGGGAAAACTTGTTGGACGAAATCGCAACAGAACCAGGCACCGGGTTGATACTAGCAGCCGAAATTGTTGAAGGCACCGCGTTCGTTTGTGAAGAATTCGTATGTATCGGATGATCGAAAAAGCTGAATCCACGGGCTAAATGAATACCAGTATGTGAGTGCACAGGCGGTAGGGCCAGGTGTCCAACAAGGAAGCGATGGCGCATAAGACATTCATATTGGTCAGCAGGAGAAGGAAGAGAGCTGAATAGGGGAATAAAGACGTATAAGTTAATATTGATTCATTGTTCGCAAAACTAGACTAATTCATTTTTATCGCTTCAAAATCAAATTTAATGACAAGTGAACTCGAAGGTTTGAAAGGAATAGAGAAATAACATAGGAAGACTAATATTTTGTGGACTCTATTTTGG